CAACAAGGAACTTCTCAATGAGCTAACATTGACTAGCCCACTAAACCTCAACCCCTGCCCTCCAACAATAGTCTAAGCCCTCTTACTTCACTCTATATTTTTCCCCACAACATTTGTCATCATTATCATATTATGTAATGTCCTTATTTCTTATATTATTATTATTATATTATTATTTCTTATATTTCTTATATTAATGTCTCCCTGCTGCAAGGAAATACACTTTAGGAGGGCAGGTGTTTTATCTGTCTTATTCATTGTTGTACCCCCAGTGTCTGGAATAGTGCCTGACTCACAGTAGATGTTCAATTAAAGTATGTAAAATGCCCAAAAGGAAAAAAAAAAGTCACTTTAAATAATGTGGCATCTTTATTATCATAAAATTTTAGAACTAGAAGCAGCTTTAAAATGTTGCAGATGACATTTATTTTACCAACAAAGGGAGGTCCAGAAAATTTAAGTGATCTGCCAAAGGTCACATAGCCAAGTAAGTAAATTGTGGACTCGCCAGGTATATTGGCTCTGAGTCAAGTGTTTTTTGCTACGTCATAGTTCATTGTACAATTTTAAGGAAAACATTATTTTTCTGATAACAGCAGACATATAAAAAGTCATCATATAAATTATTATTGGAATTCTAAGTTTATAATAAAGACATCCATTGTCACTTTTGCTTATTTTTTTCACTAAGGTTTTTTAAAGTAAATGTATTTTCGAAGTTGTTTTACCTGCTGAACCATGAGTTCTAAAGGACCTGGTTGATTCATGTTTATTTCTCATGAAATTCTAAATATTCATATGTAGAAATTAATGGAACTAAAAAATATTAATATTTAAGCCCTTTGATGAAAATGATACTCTGTGCTTGAATCTTTGCACTTTACAAAATAAAACAGATTTGTTATATGTATAAAATAATTGCTAATTTGAGGATTAAGTCCTGGAATATAAAGATTTTCATGCTGGCATGCATATATATTTACACATGTTAAAGATATTCACTTAATAATATCAAGAAAATGTGCTAAATTCCAATAAATCATGGAGCTATAGTGTACAGTACTGGAAATATAGTTAATAATATTGTAATTTATTTATGAGGCTAATATGCAAAGTGTCCCCTCAGAGTTGGACCAGAGACAGGAAGTTTAATCACTCGCTAGCACATGTGCTGATCACCAGGGAGCAGCGTGGAATGAAGGAAGTCCTAGCCAGCCACTGGCACCTGGGAAGGAAGGCCCCAATCAGTCCTGATTGCCAGTCAGGCCTAGGGACCCTACCTGTGCACGAATTTCATGCATTGGGCCCCTAGTATTGTAATAACTGTGTGGTGACAGATGATTATTAGACTTAGTATGGTGAGCACATCATAAAGTATATAAATGTGGAATCACTATGTCATACACCTGAAAGTAATATAATTTTGTACCCCAGCTATTCTTGAATTTAAAAATAATCTGCCAAATCATATGTTGTCAGGGCTTATAGCTGGGTATATTAGGAAAAAGTATTCAATGACATATTGTATGGTCTTTCCACAGGGATTTCTTGATATTCTTTTGAAGACTATATATATATATATGACATGCAATAAGATGAATGCATACACAGATGGTTGAACACACATTCCCAAAAAGCAGTGATTAATCAGTATATTTCAATGCATACAGTTTTTCTAGTGATGTTCCTCAAAGAGCTGTTTTTATCTCTGTTTTCTCATCATTTTTATCCATTACTTCTGTGAATGGACAGAAAATATTTATAAAATGTGAATAAAATAAACCTAGGTAGGACAGTAGATGTGATGGATGAAAGAAATAGGTATTTATTAAAGTGTACTGAAAAGTGTATTATGCTGCAGTCATGGGTATAGAGATCAATCTTTTCAGTAGAATTGAGATAGACTGTGTCTTAATCTCCTTGTGCCCCTACTATTTCACAATTTCTAACACACAGGGTGCTTAAATATTACTTGAATCTGGAGAAGCGGGAGAGATAGGTCAAATTTAGCAAGATTTATGGATATCAATGGACTTCATAGTAAAATGTGGTGGTAAAACTACCTAATGTGAGTTGAGATATAATTAATAGAATTGTATCCAAAAGGAAGAAGGTGGTGCTCCTGTGTCACTCTGTGTTCCATGCTACTGCTTTGAAAAATAACACCAAAAGTGGCAATTTAAAAATGGACATGATGATTGCTTTATGATACGTTACGTGATAATGTGGAAAAAGGGAAATAAATTTGTCCTATTTGGTGCAGAGGATTAGATCTGGGCAAGTAGATAATATGAATGGAAACACATTTCAATCAATATCTAGAATATGCCACTCAAATAAAGGGTTTTCTATCAGTGAAGAAGATGTGTATCACAGGTTAGGTGAGAATTGGCAAAGACATTGTAGGTAAGCTTCTTAGCATAATTTAGAAGGTTTAATTATAGAATCTTTTAAAAAATATATTTTATTGATTTATGAGAGGAAGGGAGATGGGTAGAGATAGAAACACCAGTGATGAGACACATTGATCGGCTGCTTCCTGTACCCCGCTACTGGGGACTGAGCCCACAAACTGGGCATGTGCCCTCTCTGGAATAGAACTGTGACCTGCTGGTTCATAGGTCAATATTCAACCACGAAGCTACACTAGCAGAGTTAATTATAGAATATTTCAGGGCACACCATAGCCTAACATTTTGATATTTTCTGATTTTATCCTGAGTCCTTACTTTATTATGAAATTGAAGTCATGTGGTATTATTCATACAGTAGATGCTTATAAGCATGTTTAAGTGTATAAAAAATAAAAGGACCATCTTGTTAATAAAGAAAACATGTAAATACATATGACCAAGAATGTCGGGACAAGTTACTCTATTATTTGTGTTGAGAATAAGAGAGAAGCTTTTACTTCTTTCAGCACTATTGGCATTAATCTTAAAAAAAAAAAAAAGTATGAAGGAAGACCTATGGTAAAATCTGGACCTAAAACAAATGAAAACACTTCCCTTCAAAACCAGATATAAAACACTGTTAAGTACCCTGTAAAAGGAATATCTAAAACTTGAAAAGAAAATTGCAGGTTAGAGAGGACCTAAAATATGGATAAAGGAAGCAACAATTCATAATATTGTGACCATGTTAGATATACACTAGCAAAACACAAATTATAGATGAAATGTAAAAATAAAGGCTGGTGACAAAGAAAGAAAAACTGGCTGTCAAAGGGGTGACTTACCCTATGAGATTCAAAATATATCTCAAATAAAACGTAAATTAACAGAAGAAAAATTCCAGAAATTGAGTAAAAATGTTTGTTGAACTTAATATATAAAGAAAAAAACAACAAAACAAAACCTACACATGAGGAAACAAATCACTAATAAATGATGTAACAAATGCCCATCAGAATGCACCATATAATACATTCCAATAAATTCTAGATCATTCAGATTATTCACTGACTCTACATCAATTAATTGTATGAAAAAACAAATTAAGTGACTTTTCTAACCCAGGTATGGGCTGGGTATAAATTTAGGGCTATTTGATAAATTAATTTTATGCCGTGAAAACCCATCAAGGGGCAGAACAAGTCCCTAAAATGGATTATGCTTCCTTACCTCCTTTTCTAGAGCAGTGTCTGGCTCATAGTTAATAGACAAGAAATGTTCAATTAAAGAAAATAGAAATATATGATTTTTATCATATAAATTATGACAAATTTTCATTCTGATTCATATAAAGTTATGAATCTGGACTAGATTCATTAGCTAATGAAACTAACATTATTAATAAAGAAGATCCCCATTGACAGTTAAACCAAGGAGGTCTAAACATAAAGTACATTAGTGTAAACTATCTACCTAGTCAATGTACATAGAAGATGAGGATCATCTACAATAAATTTTTTTGAAAGATTGATGTTTCACATAATTAAACCCCTGATGAAAATGGGACTAAAGAAAAATCAGGAAAATAAGTTGGAAAAACAAATGTAATATTATAAGCACCCATATTTTCTTATAGCTCATTTTTTTCAAGTGAGAGGAAAATCAGATTGCAGAAGAAGAGTGCAGGGCAACACTGTTTATTCTCTCCAAACACTTAACACATCTAGCAAAAGGGCTGGGGCAACTCTCACAGCAGTTCTTATTAACATAAAACCCCCACAGATGTTTGTCTTGGTTTTTTTTTGTCAAAATTAATCAAATTACCTAAAAGATTTAAATAAAAAGCCATTTATAGAGACACAACTATAGTTGAAATTTTGATTATTATTTTTACTAGTCAACCTACTAATAAGCCATAGTTTTCAAATTATTTATCTATATACCTGTCTATCTATAGACACACACATTACATACCCACAGGTGTATGCATATGTGTGTGTGTGTGTGTGTCTGTCTGTGTGTGTGTCTGTGTGTGTGTGTAGGTATGTACATGTATCCATAAAAATCTATACTTTCTGATATGTCTTTGGAATAATGCACAAATATATTATTCTTATATGGAATCAGACATTCTTATATCTTTCTGAAATTATTCACAAAAAAATATTCCTCAGAATGAAGGAAAAAAGCATTTTATCAATCATATTGCATTTTTTTTTCAGGAACTATTATGAGATATTGTGTCCTGATATCTCTTGAGGTCTCTAAGAGTTTTAGGATCAGATGCTTGTTTTTCTTCCTAATAAAATTTTGTAGGAATGCATAAAAGTAGATTAAACTATGTCAGATTCTTTAAAGGAAAACACTGTTCTTCTTTGACAAGGTTGTTATGTAGCAAAAAAAAATGAGCCTTGCAAGCAGTTCTGAAAACGCAACTGAGATGCAATTTGATAAGTAGCCTTCCATCATCCAAGCCAGAGCGGTGGAAAAGCATGCTATCAGCACTTTCATCAAAGGCACTATTGACTCTTCTCTTTCTGTCTCATTTTATCATGACTTTCTCATTTTGTTTACTCAGTCAATGATTGGAGAGAAAAGATTCCTTACCCCTTGGATGAGTTTTAATGGAGTCCACGACAGAAAGGTCCTGTTCTCCATCTCTGCTGTCACCGCTGTCTTCACTACCACCATCACTTTCAATCAGTTTGTCCACCATAGCAATAATACAGTTCAGGCTCTTCCCCACATTGGCCCACACCCTATCCTGAAAAGAGCATGAGTATCAATACACATTTTTTATTGCAAAAAAAAGATAAGGCAAAATCTTGATTCATCATTTTAGAGAAGCAAGTAGAGAAATCATCATGACAATGCAGACTGACTAGCTCTAATACCCTCATTAATTTGGCCAAACCATGGATATGCAAGAAATACATTTTCTCTTAATAAATTAAAATTTAAGTGTTATAAATCTTTTTATTTAGTTGATTATCTTTCTCTGTCATAAAACAATGATAAATTACCATACAACATTAATCCACAATTGAGCTCAAACTATGAAATTTTAAATTGGATATATTATCATTTTCTTATAATTTTCCTATCAATACTTATTAAGAAAGCAAAGACATAGCAATATTTTTATTTTTTAAATTTATTAAAATTAATTAATTAATTTTTATTTTATTTTATTTTTACATTTTTTAATTAAATTATTATCTGTGTATGTATGCCCCCCCATACATACCCTCCCTCTCCAGAGTTTTGTGTCCATTGGTTGTATTTATATGCATGTACACAAGTCCTCTGGTTGATCTATTATCTCCCCCAGATCATAGCAATATTTTTAAAGAATATCCACCACTTACATTAGAAATTCCTGTTTTTCTCTTTATATTTTTATAATACATACACAAAGTTTACCATTTTTACAATTTTTAAGTATACAGCTCAGTGGCATTAAGTATATTGTGTGACTATCACCACCATCCATCTCCAGAACTTTTGGGACTTCCAAAATTGAAACTCTGTACCCTTTAAACATGAACTCTTTCTTTCCTCTTTCAGCCCTAACTGCCATCATTGTTCTTTATGTTTCTATGAATTTGTCTTCTCCAGAAAATGGAAGTTCTTAAAATATGGTCTCTAGCTAATGGGAATGAACTCTGCCATTGAAGGAAAAGCGGGGGAGACGGTTGCTCATTTTCCAGATTGGCTTTGTAAGTGAGATACATTTTCAGCTCTCTTCTATTTTTTTTTTTTAATCCTCACCCAAGGTTATTTTTCCACTGATTTTTAGAAAGAGTGGAAGAGAGAGGGAAAGATAGAGAGAAATATCAATGTGAGAGAAACACATCATTGGTTGCTTCCTGCGGGAGTCTATAATCCAGGTAAATGCCCTTGACTGGAGTTGAACTAGGGACTCTTTAGTTTGCAGGCTGACACTCTATACACTGAGCCAAATTAGCTGGATAGGGATCAGCTCTCTTCTTGTTACTCATGTTGGGAGAAACTGAATTTTTATTAAAAAGCAAGCAATATTAAATGTTGCTTTTCTTCCTTCTTTCCTCCCTTTTTTCCTCCCTTTTTTCCTTCCTTCCTTCCTTCCTTCCTTCCTTCCTTCCTTCCTTCCTTCCTTCCTTCCTTCCTTCCTTCCTTCCTTCCTTCCTTCCTTCCTTCTTTTATCCTTTATCTGAGGACATGTATTTTTATTTTAGAGAGAGAGGAAGGGAATGAGGGAGAGAAACATCATATGTGTCCCACCTAGGATTGAACCTGCAAACTAAGTATGTCCTCTGACTGGGAATCAAACACACAATCTTTTGATGTATGGGATGATGTTCCAACCAGTTGAGCCACCTGTCCAGGGCTGCATGCTGCCGATCTTCTTCTTTTTTTTAAACTACACTTATTGTTGAAAGATTTACAGATGTTTATGTAAAGTAATACAAGGGATGGGTCAATTTATCTTAATCACATCTCTGAAAAGTGTGAACAGAAGATGATTTAAAAGAATAATTTTACAGTCTATATCTATAGCTACTCTACTTCCTTTACTTACATCTCACATGATAGGATTCAATTGATATGAAAAGTAGCCTTTGCAGCCATTAGAGAGATCTTTATTGGCATGAGAAACAGAATCAAGCAAGTTTATCAATCAAGACCAACAACCATATACGTAGTAAAGGGTTATATGGCAAATAGTAGAAAAAACATTTAAGTCATTAAATGCTTAGAGGACACATAAGCTGGGAGAGTGTTTATTGGGGGTGAGAAATTGAGCAGTTTCTTATGCACAGTTCATGCATAATCAGATAATCCATTAAAGATAGACTCATTCTATTATTTTCCCTTTGGGGAGAATATCCTATTTAGCTCATAGTGAGAGAACTCTGAACTTTGCTGATCATGCTTCCTTCTCTTTTATGGCATCTAAATAGTATATTAAAGTTATTTATTTGGTATGCACTTCTGTCTCTAATACCAGATTATAATTTATTTGGGACCTGTGTCCTCAATATATTGCACAGGGTCTGGAAGAAAGGCAGAGAAAGAAGGAGGAGGGAGAGGAAGAAGTTCAGCATTCCTTAACTGATCATCTTTTCTAGATCTAATTTTTTATCAGCAAAAATGTGAAAACTAAACCAGAGCTGGCATGGGGAGTCCAAAGTAGCCCTGGCATATCTATATCTCTATGCACAATTTCCTACTTGTCATTACCAATTTCTGAGGACATTGATTAGAACAGGCATATGGGTTAGCAGGGCCAATCTCCATCTTTAAAAAGAAGCTTCAGTGTATCCTTGATTGAATGCAATTTGCACTATATTGGCCTCGCTCAACATAGCAAACCTGTCTTATTTTAACAGCTTGATAGTTATTTTCTCTGATCTAAAGTTTACAGAGACTGCTAGATGAAAGGAGTTGTACTTAAAATACTCCATGGCACAAACTGCAACATGTATGCCTCAAGCTATGTAATATATAGTTAGTTATGTAATATATAATTATGTAATATATAGCTATGTAATATTATATAATAGTCCAAGTGACCCCACCGATACACTAATACACACACACACACACACACACACACACACACACCATGTCCACTAAAAATAGGAATACATTTGACATCCATCAGAATTAAGTGAGATTTCCGTGTTTGCTTCTTATTGATCCTCCTGCTTCGCTTCACTTATTTACTTATGTAAAAATCCCTGACCTTCCTTTCCAATAACCACACTGCTGGTCTTATCCCAAAATTCAGCCCCTAGTTGCACAGTGGATTCAGATAAGCAGCCAGTTTCTCCAGTATTGATCCCTCTACATTCCCATTGTTTGGACCCAAACCTATATATCAGCTATCACACAAACAGGTCTACACATGAGTGCCACATTTATCTTCATTGATTACCATGCTCAAATCATCAGTCCTCTGGTCAAAAGCAGGCTAAGCACTGCAGCTAATCTTCATTCTTCTCTCAGCATAGAGTCACCTCTCTAGTTGAGTCAACCTAGAAAATTCTCCTTATTTCTTGTTACTCTGAAAACTTTACCAGGTCAGGCATCTTGCTCTCCTAGCAACATCCTATTAAATAGCTTAACATATGTTTTCTGGGCACCTGCTGCATGTCTCTTAGTGCTGATCATTGGAGACATGAAGGAAACCTTGGAATAATGTATATTTCTACCTGGACACATGATGCTTTTTATGCTTTGAATACCTTCCTCCTTCTCTTCCTTCAACCCAAATACTAACTTTTTCAAGTCCCACCACTTCCAAGAACTATCTGTGCTACCCTTCCTCTGCTTAATGCATTTTTGCTGTCTGACAGACAGAGGGCTCTATGAGGGAAATAACTATTATTCATTAATCCTTTTATTCTCAGGTCCTTAGGTGATGAAGGAAGGAAGGAAGGAAGGAAGGAAGGAAGGAAGGAAGGAAGGAAGGAAGGAAGGAAGGAAGGAAGGAAGGAAGGAAGGAAAGATAAGAGAAGGAAGGATTATATTTTTTTTCTAACTTTCATATAATTTCTCTCTGACTCTGTTAATCATTTAAAAAAATATTTCAGAGAGAGGAAGGGAGAAGAGGAAGAGAGAAACATTTACGAGAGAAACATTAATCAGTTGCATCCCACATGAGCCCCCAATTAGGGATAGCACCATGGAGGATAGAACCGGCAACCTGGGTATGTGACATGATGGAGAATCGAACCTGCCAACTTTCAATATATAGGATGACACTCCAACTAACTAAGCCACACTGGCTAGGGATCTTTTCAACATTTTTTATGTGTATCATTTAACCACCTCTATTCTGGGAATCTTAATATATTTGCTTATTTTATGAGTGATGGCCATTTACTTGAATTAGATGATATGGTTGTTGAGATCAGAATCCACATTTTATAGTTACTGGTAATTTGTTTTCTCCCACGTACCTATAGCATTGCTACACACCACTGGTGCTTAATTAACATCTGTTGATTGACTGAATAACTAGTTACTTAGGAATAAAAAGAAATTAAGATACAACTTTAAGTATTATCACATCTTCAAATTGAAGTTATAATTAAGATCAAACTCACAGGCTGAGTTCACTCTAATTAATGCCACATCATGCTAAAGCTTTCAATTCAGGAAAAATATTAAATAAAGCAATTGTTTAATAAAAATTTTTCTACTGATTGGCTAATGCTTTTAATGTTAAGTTGGTAATTGGTTGTTATCTATATATCATTAGATAGTTGCACTAGTTGAATTATATGACAATATCAGTCAGTGTGCTACATACCACCAATTTCCAGGATTGATTTTTTAAAAATGAATGTACCCCAACATATTAACATTCTGTCTGTATATGCCTCAGCATTTTTTTTAAACAATTCATTAAATTTGGGGTATTCAAAGATTTCTATTTAGGAAATAATGTCTGATTATTCACATTAAAATGTATTAAAGATTAAGGACACTTGATTTAATGTAATCATACATTTTTAAAGTGTGTATGTAAGTTTGCATATTTATTATTCACTGGCACTTCAAAATATTTGACATTGAACCAGGCATTATAAAAATCAGGAAAATATCCAATGAAGAGGATGATATCTAACATAAAATCACAGGAAAATCACCAATCCATTAACAAAAATAAAATATCTCTGTTAAAAACATTGGTTTGAGTTGAAGGATGAACTGCTGATTCTGCAAATCCCTCCATTCATTCTGAAAAAATACATTGAACGTGAATGGAGGAAA